TTATGACTAAGTTTAAGTATCTTTAGACTTCATGTAACAGTTTTCTCCTCCATTGGGGAGCTTCTCTCTAAGGTCCCAGACAACTACTGTTACTGAGTAGAAGGATGATGAGGGTGGCAGAAAGTGACACATCTGTGGGAGAAAGGGCAGATTTATCTTGTATGTAGTTGAGATCCATCCTCTTTACAGAATAAACATATTTAACAAATGAAATAGAAGAAATGAAGTCAAACAATAATGGCTGAAAACAAAGGAGTAATGTTTCACAGAGTGATGCTGAGAATAGAAGGGAATCTAGATATAGGTAAGCACAGATGATAAAATGTTTTTGGAGGAACTTATCACAGCAGAATAGATGGTAAAAGGCAGTTAGCAAAGACTAGCAATGTCTCAGATTGGAAAGAATCCATGAAGAATGTTATTTAACTTCTCCTTTTTCCTTCCCCAAAAGCAGCACTACCAAAGGACAGTTTTGGAATAGAGCCCAAAATAAATAAGGAAATGGTTCAGTTAAGTAGGGTACTGTGTAAATATTTTTTTTACAGAGTGAGATGAGAGACAGTCTCATTGTGTCTTGATAGAATCCAGAAATGTTGATCATATGGTGATTAGGGTTGTGAGATCAAGAGATTTTATGAGTAGGTTTTGAGTACAATCAAAATACTGACACATTTCTCAAAACAAGATAGCTTAAATTCAGGCTTCTCTCTTCTGGGTGGTAGCAAAAAGGAGAATTGCTCTGGATAAGCAAGTTTTTCAGGTAAAAATGCCTTTCCAAAGCTTAAAAAAAAAAAAAAGCATTATCTTAAGAGCCATTCTAACTCTTCAGATGACTAGGAGTACCAAAACTGGTATTGTGTCCCTGCACTCAAGGCAAAAAGATGTGAATTTTCTTTAAAAGTAAGAGAGAGAAAAGGGAAAAATAGAGAAAGTGAACTAGCAATGTCTTATTTCAGGTGGCATGAAATCTGTACAACTGAAATTTAAGGAAGTCAAAGAAAGAATGATAGAAGATTACTATATGGTTGATCTTGACATGAGAGTATATCACAGGGTCTTATGGTCTTCTAGGTCTATTTTCTAGCATTCTACAAAATTGGGGTGAAATATAGATACTCATATTGCTTGTTCTTGGAAAGTCTGACAAGGTGCCAATACTGTTGGTGGGGGGGTTTATTTTGATTGTTGGTTTGGTCATGATTTGTTTTGGAGGTGGTATTTTTTTTAATCTGCTTGTACTTATCAATTTCAAACACATGAAGTTAGATGCAATAGTTTAAGCAGTGTTTTATGATACTGTAGGATGAAAATATAACAGATAGGGAGGAGGAAAATAGTATCTTGAACCTGAGAATTCTGGGAGGATGTGATGAAAGCAGTAGGTGATAGTGCAGTAATTAGAGGCAGAACTGTCTATAGAAGTTTTTTCCTCCACTACTGGTGTAATTTCTGAATTTAAGATATTTCCCTGACTGTATCTCAGAAGAAAATTTAAGTACTCTTTGTCAAGATAGGAGCAGCACCTGGAGAGATTATTGCAGATAAAAAAGAGATAAATGGACAAAGGGATGAATGAGAAAACAGAAAAAAAGTGGTAAGATTTCATTCTTAATGATTTTTCCCACAGGGAAGGCTCCCTGGAATAGACCATGGATGATCCATATGATCAGATATAGAATGATTAAACAGATGTTACATTCAGAACAAACTTGCCTCATTCAGACACACAGAACAAAAGGCCACGCTCAGAGTCCTGGAGGCAATTTTTGTGACACAATTCTCCAGCCCAGCTGTGTACCATAGCTAACTTATCTACCATTGAAGCAACTGCAGGTACCCCCTGGGTCCTTCCAGCAAAGCCCCAGTGCCACTGGCATCTCTAGGAAGTGTCAGGTGAAGCAAGGTCTTACTGAGTGTCCTCTACTTGATGTGTGTACCTGAGTGGCCAGAAAAGAAAAATGCTATAAACTACATTGCTTTGGAGAAAACAGATGGCATAATTTACTAATGCCAGAAAAAATGGAGCTGTTAGCAGCCTTCACCTTGCTTTGACTCATTATACAGTTCTACATGTTTTGGTCAAAGTTCATGGAGATTGATATATTATTTCTGGAGTGTTTTGATAGACTGCCATTTTCTAATGTAAAGAAAAACCCAATTAATTTTATCAGAAGTGCCATCACTCATAGGAAAATTTTAATTTTTTTTCTACAGAGTGGGGATTTTATTATGTGTTTTACTGCTATTTAAGAACAATAGCAAAACTAAATATTTTCACTTAAGAGTGCTGGCCTCCCACACTTTCTTTTTAAATCCAGTCTACTACTACAGAATGTTTCACTGAAACATTCTGCTTGTTCTTTTTTGCCTTATTTAGGTCTAAGAAGCATTTGTCAAGTAGGCAGCTCGACTCTACCTCTTGTTGATGGCAAGTATTTTCTGTAGGTTTTGATTTCCTGCCGTGCACAGTGACTGATACTGCAACTTCACCCCATCACTACCTTGACTGACAGCAGTGAAGAAAAAGATCTGTACAACTAAATAAAATATTTGAAAAGAAATACACTCAAGTTTGGAGGCTTGAGAAGGGGAAGAAACAGCAAAACATTCCAGATTTATGAGGGGCCATTAAGGGTATTGTACAGGTTTGCATGAGCAGTTATATAATTTAGTTGCTCTCCTGTGATATTCTGGTTTTTATTTGCAGTATGGAGAGAGAGAACTGCACCCATCTGTATTAAATAAAACTATTTTTTTATCAGGACTTGCTAGTGACATTATTACTCTAACAGGTTGTGCATGTCATCAGAACCCAGAGGTAAAAAAATATAACACTCTTTGGATGTATTTTATTATTTCACAATGACTGGATAACATGAAACCTAATGAAAATTTACATTGGGCAGACACCTAGTGTAAATTTCACCCCTTTTTAGTCTTACATCTTCTCTTGGCTGGCTTAATATACCTGTTGTGATATTTGGGAAAATATTATTTTTTATGAATTCTTATGAAATTAAAATATCTAGGGAGATTAGAAGTATTTTTCAGCAGGAAAATAATTAATAACACTACTGAGAATTAGTTGTTTAAAGTCAGCAGGAGCTTGTTGCTATTAGCAGGTTTGGAGCAATGATTCAGAGAAATGATAAAAAATGGTTTCTTAGACTGAGTCTACAAACAGAAATGCACTTGCCTAAATTTATACAAGCAACTTGTTTCATCGGAAACCCCCTAAACCTGAGCACATATGTAAGCATTTGTAAAAGAGGCCCTCATTTTGGTTATATCTGACTGAAAGAAAACCAAAAACCTTTATTGAACTTCTAAAATTTAAAAATGCCTGTGAGTGCTGCATAAATTGTAAGGTCAGTTCTCATTTTAGCTGAAAGCAGATTGACCTTCCTTAATGAGAATAGTGTTGAGGGTTTTTATTTTGTTTGTTTGTTTTTGTTTTTTTTTTCCTCTAAATAATAATTTTAATGGGAAAGTGTGGGAGTTTTAATGGAATGTGCTTTCTAATAAAAAGCAATAACAATCTCTGATTTTATAGCGCCTTTCATTGTAGGTCCTGATAGTGTCCTGTGAATGTTTTAGTCTCACATAACTCTAAGTAGAAAGGTACTTTTGTATTTGTTTTGCAGGGGGCTAAAAGAGAGAGAGACAGTGAGTTGTACAAATGAAAATACTGAGCAGAGTCCCCAGTGCTGATGGCTCCTCACAAACTTACACATACAGCCCTTCTTCCACGCTTAGAAACCAATTTCTTTGGATATACCATCATGACTGACAACCAATACCTGTGGTGAAAATAACTGTAGCTTTAATTTGGCAAACTATTCTTGGTTGGAGAATTCTTACTCATAGCCTCAATTTCTCATTCTTATAAAGAGGATTTAATAACTATGCTCAAAGCCAACCCTACACTTGAGGGTTTTTGATTCAGTCCCTATTTGAGTGCTGGAGATAAAATCTGGTAGAAAGAGAGAAAGGCTTTATTTTCTGTATAGAGACCAACAAGTCCTATATTTATCTAAGCACTGATGTTTTTCAGAGAGATTAATGTAAATGTATGGAAAACAATTACTCAAGTACTTTCTTTAGCACAGTAATAATAACAGAATTCAGATATCCTGCCTTTCTCTGTTTAAGAGAAAAAACATTTCTGTAGTTCTGTGTTTTGTTTTGTTTTAAAATACTGGCAAATGCTATATGTATTTTTTATGCCTGTTTTCAAAATCTGAAACTGCTACATGCCAAAGGCTGAATTAAGAATTCTGAACAGTGTTTATGATTTCCTGCCTCATGCAAATATTTCATTATAGTGTATGAGATTTAATAAAGAAAATTATCTATTTTTATATAAATTTGAGTTTCATTTAGAGTAGACTTTGCTACAGAATGACCAAGCTTGGGTGAAATATCATAATTACACAAATAATAACATATTAGTTATTTCCCAATTACTCTATTCTAAAGTTGCACAGTAACGCTGATGAAAAATAGAAATAAAACCACATCAGATAATTTGGAGATAAATGTTTTCACAGACTGGTTTTTATTTACAGTGAAGACTTCAAATAAATAGAGATTTAGAATAATTTTTGGTATGCTTGATGAAGCGCTAAGATCAGCAGATGTTTATTACACCAAAAAAGAGCATTTAAAGCAAATAATTCCACTTAAAATGTTAAGCACATTTTCCAGCTTATACTGTTGGAGATTATTGTGGCATGTTTGATTAATGGGCTGTTTTATTGGTGATGCAAATAATGTGCAATATCATATGACCCATATGTTGTAGATTAGAAAGGTATTAAAATTACCTTGGCACTAAGTGAAAAATCTGAAATATCCCTCTGGTAAAATATATCATTTTAGAGGAAAAAGACACGTTGGCATTGCTTGTATTTATGCTTTTGATATATTACATGTCATGTTTGCTTAGTTTTAGTATCAAAATTTATTCTCTTTCATCCTTTTGCTTCTCTTTGTCAGGTTTCCCTAGCAAGCGGTGTGTGCAATGGGCAGCAACTGAGTGAAACCCAACTGTATGTCACCTGTCACTTATGAGCACAGAACATAGAGGAAGGTGATGATGTCTGTTTTCTCATAAAATAATCTTGGTATTTATTGCCATTTATTTATAATTGGTGCAAGCTACAACAAAATAAGGAAGGCATGTGCCTGAAGGAAACACTTCGAGAAAGATCCTCAGCAAAGCCCCAAGCCACAGAATGGAAATCCACCTTGTTCCATATTGCATAGGAAACTTGAACAACTGCTTGGGGTCTGTTTAAAGATTCACTCAGGTTCTGGGACCTTTGGGTAAAGTTTAGTTGGAAAATGATGGCCTGACTTATGACTTTATCTGGAAACTGTATATAAAAATTCCAATTAAACCCAGAAATGGAAGAAACTTTAGGATGAATTTTAGTTTATGATTTTGAATTCTGTTAACACTGAATGGCAGATTGGGATTCAGAAGGTACACTGGAGCTTTGCATGCACTGTAATGCAATGAAACTACTAAGTTTCATGTTATTTGCTCCAAGTCTGTACCTGACTTAGAGCATGATCTGGCTTTCAGAAGTGCTTCTTCTAGGGCCAAAAATGGCTATGTTTTCTGGTGATGAAATTCCAAACCAGAACTATCCCTCAGAAGCACACAGCAGTCTCCTCAAATTTCCCACCAGTAAAGTAGACCTGATTCTTCTTCCTTTTGCTTTTCCCCTAAATTTCTGTTAAGTTTGGTAACCTGGGATAGACTTCCTTACTGGTTGTGAACACCCCAAATGGCCATGTCTTCTGACAGTAGATTGGGGCTTTCAGCTACAAAGATAAAATGCATCAGCACATGGGACAATTAAGCCCATTTCTAGAATTTTTGCTCAGGTGAAAACAACCTGACAATTCTCCTTATTAAGAGCAAAATGTAAAAAGATGTGATTACCCACATAAGTCACTTCTGAATGAGGAGAAAATATAATTAAAATCTTTAATGTGCCTCATCAATATTTTTTTACATTATTTTACAGTATTGTCATCAGGCAAAAGAGTGCTAGAAGAGCTGATTTTGTCCAGTAACTGCAGCTGTCCTTGAGGGCAAGAACACCATACCAAAATTTAGCCCGTGGTTCAGCTAAAAATGAATTCTTCAATAAATACTGTAGTCAGCTCATACCACAGAGACATAAATCATCTCTGGTTTGCCATCCTGGTCAGCAGCATCCTAAGGCAGCAATCCCTTCAGGGTCTGTACCCTTTTGAGACCGCTGCTCTTGTCCCTCACAGGTTCCCTTTGTGACCGTGTAGCATTTGCTTCTCCTGAGATTTGCTGGTGAAAACTGTCCTGTGCTTGAGTTGTTCCAGGCAAAGAAATTGTTGAGGGGCATATCTTTGGACTGAATTCAGTTCCTTGAAATTTCACTCTTCTAGCTGTGCTAGTTCTACCACTCTCTTTGCAGCACACTTCATCTGGAAATAATTATCTGGGCCCTGCTCCTGCAAACACTGTCCATGTGCTGCACCACGTTCAGTAGATTGCTTCAAGGAAATCAGTGGGTGTGTTTGAAAGGTTAAATTTGTAGGTGCTGACAGAACTTGGACGCTAGTCACCACAAGAGGATGTTAAAATACCAATGGGGAGGGAGGAATCCAAAGGGTGTCCTTAGCCAGAGATCCTGTTTTCATGCAAATGTACTTAAAAATGAAATTAAAAAAATAAGAAAAGGAGGAGAAATATACTGAGAATGTATTTTATGGTAAGTAGTCCTTTCTCCCTAGGATGCCTCTCATTATTTTCCAGAAGGATCCAGCCATGCATTAAGTACAGGATTAGTTTTCTCATCTTGGTAGTGTTGTGACAGTTTATAAAAACCTCTCATAACTAATGTAGCCTCCATATATTACAGAGTGATCATGTCCAAAGAAAAGACATTGACAGATTTGAAATAATTATGTAAATTTTTTCTAGAGTTCTATTTAAAAGCACATTTTTCAGACTTAAAAAAAAGAAAGCACCATCAACCAACCCTTAGTGATTGCTGAGGAAGCTGTACCTACATGCCTGCATTAAACCTAGCACAATATGCTATAAAAACCTCATTACACATCCAAGCTGTCTTTGTATCAGCATTAAATGTGCTTCCATACACATTCTGTAAATTACACACTTATAAATTACTCATTTGTAATAGCTGCAGGCTGATGGCTACAGTGAAAATTATATGTTTTTTTTTTAACTTGGTTTTTTTGATGTGCTTTTTGCTTATCTGAGCACCTGATGATCCTGCCATGCATGTCAATGGAAATCAAACCAGAAAAAGATATAAGGAAATTTTCTTGATACACCCTTTTCCCTCCCATGATTAATTTTACAATAATCAACTATTTCTCAAACTAGAAATTTTTAGTGTCAGACATGGCCATATTTTTGTCCTGTGTATTTCTGCTGAAGTTAGTGTTGAATAATTATGAATACTTCAGTAATATAAAATTCATAAATCTATTAAATAACTTAGAAGAGCAGAAGCAACTGCTTACTTTTTCTCCTTGAGGAATCATAACATATACCTAACTCTTTGTAGCTGTTAGGATCAGATTCCCTCACAACAAACTGTGTCCACTTCAGCAGGCATATTTATCTTATCCTTAACTATCACACCTTGCTGTGTGCTTCAGCATCATTCACCCAGATCCTCTGGTCCACCTGTAAAAGGCTCCTTCAAAATGACCCAGCTTTCAGGAGATGCCACTCTGCAGCTGCCCTTATGCCAGGCTGAGGGAAACCCTATCAAAACCCTTGGAGGAATCCAGGAAGGCAGTCTCCACTGCTGCCTCACATCAGCCAAGAGGGCTACTTTGTCATAGCAGGCAATCATGTTTGTCAAGCAATATTTGCCCCTGTTGAATCTGTGCTGGGTTTTCCCAGCCACGTGCTTCATCTGATTTGGGATGGCCCCAGGAGGATCCATTCCGGTACTTTCCCAGGGACTGAAGGCTGATGGGGCTATAATTTCCTTTCATTTAGCCCTTTTTGTAGATGGTATGGCAGATGGTATGATCTTCCAGTCTTCTGAGATGTTTCCTGATCTCCACAACTGCTCAAAGGTCATGGAAAGCAGCCTCATGAGGATTTCAGCCAGCACTTTTAATAACCTTGGGTGGACATTATCTGGGTCCATTGATTTGTAAGGGTCAAGCTCCTGTAATAGTTGATGTACCAATTTTTCCTTTGCTGACAGTGGGTTGTGTTTGCAAATGAATGAATGATGGAAGTCTGAAAAGTTTGTATGTGAAGCAGAACTCTTTCAAGGACCAGGTGTACTCGCATGGACACCTGAAGTAGGCTGACAAATTATTGCAATTATTTTATGGCTGTGTTTTTAATAGTTTCAGTTTTTATTAAACATGCAGATTCCCTGTTCATACCACACAGGGATTTGTAATCCATTAATATTCTAATTTTAGTGGGAGGCATTTCTTAGAATGGCCTTTCTTTTCCTCACAAATTCTTGAAGAATGTAAAATTCAAATTAATATTTGAATCTTAGACTTGGAAATTAACTTTAAAATTATCTGTATTCTCTAGAAAAATAGAAGTGTCCAGTGTGACTTAAGGCTCTCACCTGAAGTCTTGTGCTATCTTTTTCAAAATTCAAATACTCATGGAAAGTGTTCAGAAAGAAAAGATGTACCAACAAAACCAACAAAAGCTCCAAGGTAGCAAGAAGGTACATCTCTAAAGGTAACCTGCAGTTAGAGTTACAAATTTAGGAAAATAGTGAGTTTTTCATCTGGCCCTTGTGTCCACCAATAATGGACTGCTACTTTTGGAAGCAAGCCCCAAAATTCATTGGGCTATTTGTGTAAAACCTGAGATGGCTTATCTGGAGCTATATTTTTTTGAGTTATTCCCACTTGTGATCATGCATTATTACGTAATATTTTCTGACTTTATAATTATCATGTAGACAGGGTTCATGAAAGAGCAGGCTGGAGCTTAGATCCAGGACTGTCCCAGTCAGACCTTTACAGTTTGATATTTGCACTGTAAAATCCAGGTGCCTCACTTTTATTATAAAATTTATCTTGGATGTTTGCTGCAATGAACTCTCACACCTTCCACTCCTCATTTTATGTTCATATTGAGAAGGTTTCTATTTTTGCTTTAAATATATCCAGCTACCAGCCTCTACTTAACTGTCTTAGTTCCCTCTTTATTGCTGCACTTGACAATTCCTTCTCACAAATATTCTCATTTGCAACCTAACTTTAAAATACATCTCTCTCTTCCCCAGTTGTTGGTGCTGATTTTCTACAACAATTTAGTTAATTGTAACCTAGTAGGTATCAGTAACTTAATATTTCATAATTTTCCCCCTTTGTGGATATGGTGGTGGGCATAGGGAGAGGTAATGTATTATTTTTTAAGGTTTTCTTTTGTAAAAGGAATGGTTTTTTCTAGCTCCTCCAGTGGGGGTTCTTTTTGTTTCTGAGGTCACCAATGAAGAGTCTGGGAAAAAACTTATTGAAAAACAAATGCAAAAGCTCTCCAGTCTCTGTAAGAGCAGCAATAACTTTACAGAGACAATGCAATGCTCTTTCATAATCAGTTTGAATGGAGACTGACAATAACGCATTTTCACCTTGACTACCCTTTTATGATTTTATCATATGAGAATGTAAGAAAATATATTATTTTTCAAGTAAACCAAGACAATTAAATATATGTGTGTTTTCATCCCTGTTTCATGTTCTACTGAAGCCAAACCACATTTTTTGTGCATGTTTTGTCCAGGAGTCAGAGTAAGACACAACCACTTTCTCCTCTGAACAGGGAGAGTTTGTGACTCTTTGTCACCTTTGTGACACCCAGTCCCCTCTTGTCCATGTTAGCTCTATTTGCTATAGTCTATGACTAATGAAGCCTTATGAAATAATGCAAAGTACCCATTTCAACACATGAAATTGAGGCCAGAATAAGTTCTGTGGTTCTATCTCAGTCTTTCATTGAAGGTGAAAACTGAGGAATCCTTAATCTGCTTTCTCTAAATATTGAAAATGTTCCTTCCAACAGCTGAGAAGAACCTGATTTAGGGGTCATTACTTCCCAATGGTAGCTGAAATGATTAATGTACAACAGAAGTGAACTCTTGAATTCTCATTACAAGAAAACTTAGGGTAAGAAATTTAAGATTTTGATTTTTCTTCTATTATTCCCTTACTTAAGATGAATATTTTATCTCTTTGAATAACTTTGTTGCTTTTTATGAAAATAATGATTCGTTTTGAGGTGGGTAGCATGTGTTTCAAAAGATACTGATAAAAGGTAAAGATTGCCACGATGATCTGCTGTGATTATGCTAAAAATATATTTTTATAAGAACATAATATTTCTTACAACTTTTCTCAAAAGTACAGACTCAACTTTCATTTAGAGGAAATATAGTTTTACAGCAAAGTCCAAGAAAAGTGAAGTTCTTGAACTTAATGTAAATCAGTTTATAATATTAACTTCAATGAAGGTTATGCCTACTTGAACCTGCTCAGGTCATGCCCAGTTCTGCTTATGAGAATGAGTAAGTAATGCTTTTACATGCTGCAGAATCTTTATTTAGAAATATAATTTGGGAGCCAGTTGACTCAAACTTAATTTCAGAGATCATTTTAAGTTCAGGTTTCAGGCAAATGCAGCCTGACATTTTAGATGTTGAAATTTAGCTGCTGATGAATGTTTGATGATCACGATGTAGGAACTGGGTCACCCTAGGCCAGTTCTTGTGAATGAGCATACATTCAAAGCATGGGACTGCCACTAGAGTTTGGAACAGTCTCCATACAGAACATGTGATTTTGGTAGAAAGAAGGCCAAATTTGAACTGTCTATAAGTTCCCCTCATCTGACTGTGCCCAAGTCAAAAGACTACTCAAAAAGAAGAAAAAAAAAAAAAAAGAAGAAGAAAAAAAAGAAGAAGATAAAGACTTCCCAGGGTTGTTAGTTAAGCATTTTGCAGAAAAGCTTTTCTTTGGACTATATAGAGTCTCTGTAGATTATATAGAGCTCTGCTTAAGACCCCCTTTGCTGAGCAATAATCTGCACTCAGCTTTACAGCACTTCACAGGTTCCATTAAAACCAATTAAAGAAGTAAGTGCTGCTGGTGAAAGGAAGCAGTTTGTTCTGTAAATCCATAACAACATGATACACTGCAGGCTCTGGAGGGTACATGCAAGGTAGGAGGAATATCACTGTCTGCTCACCATCTTGTTATACACTGGGTGCTCCCCAAGTCTGCTCCCATTCCCTGATGTTGGGAGCAGACAGATTTAAATGAAGTTTTGTTCCAGCTGAGTACAGGCACTGTTATGTTCCCAGAATAAACCCATGTGAATTGTGTTTGCTGTAGTAAGGCAAAATAATTCATTAGATTTGCCTTCTAATTCATACTCCTCACTGTGCGTTGTGCCTGTACAGCATTTGCAGTAGAGTCTGTGAGCAGTGATTACTCACAGGTGGATTACACATTTAAAGGAGATGCTATTTGAGCCATAATTAGCCATTTGAGTTCTCTACATTATGAGCTGAATCTTAGATTAATATCCTTCTGAAGAATCCCTGATTATGCTGTGTGCAGCCTGTATGAAGGTTAGGGTGCTAATTCAGACATTTAAATTAGAATCAAAAATATGGTGTATGACTGTCCCCATAGTAAAGTTGCTTGTGGGCAATATGGTTTTAATTGCCTTGGCAGTACTGAGGACACTGCTTTACTTCCTTAGAGTATTCCACATACATAAAATTAATGCAGGGTATCTAACTAGTGATGACTATGGATTGAGAAGCATAAGGTAGCCTGGGAAGAACATAGAGTTTTACCAGAGTCTGTGACTTAAGTGAAGGACCCAGATTTGGTGGTGTCATGCCCCTCCATCACCAGCTGATCCATTTGCATCATTTCAGAGATCTGGGCAAGGCAAAGACCATTCTTAATTTTGAAATCTTTAATCCATTGCTAAGAAACAGCAGTTGTTAGTCTTGTAATTATTTGGAAATTAAAAATACCTAGCTTGTGCCTGCCTTAAGCAGACAGTATTTTCTTAAGGGGATTTAGGATTGGTTAAAACTTTTCAGTTCCTTAATGTAATTGCCTGGCAGTAACTGTCTGACTGTGTGAATATTCCAACTTGTGCTAACAAATATTTTTTTTTTCTGGTCTTCATATTTCATGCATATTAGCAATTCATAAATATGTTAGGAAATGCTGCAGACTATTCCCTTCTCTGACTATAGATTCATGACAAAATGTTTGCCTGAATAAAATCTTGGTGGCAAAGTAGTTCAAAAGGCACCTCCTTGAACTCCGTATGTCTTAGAAAGAGAGATTTTTTCTCCTTTCTTCCCCTACCCTTTGTGCTGGTTTCCACTAGAATAGAGTTTATTTTCTTCAGAGCAGCCAGTCTGGGTTATGTTTTGGATTTGTGCTGAAAGCAGTCCTCCTAACAGGGACTTTTTAGTTACTGCTGAGCAGAGCTTACACAGGTTCAAGGCCTTTTCTGCTCCTCACCTCACCCCACTGGTGGGGAAGTTGGGAGTTCACGAGGAGTTGGGAGGGGACACAGGCAGGACAGCTGCCCCAAATGACCAAAGGGACGTCCCAGATCATATGGCATCATGCTTGGTGTATAAAGCTGGGAGAAGATGGAGGAAGTGAGGACACTTGGAGCTGTGGCATTTATCTTTTCAAGTAACCATTATGTTGGGATGGAGCCCTGTTTTCCTGGGGATGATGCCTGCCCATCAAAAGTAGTGAATGAATTCCTCATTTTGCTTTGCTTCTTAATGTGGCTTTCCCTTTCCTGATTAAACTCTCTTTATATCATCCCAAAATTTTTATTCTTCTGATTGTCTTCCCCATCCCACCAGGGGGTGAATGAGTGACTTTGTAGGGCTTAGTTGATGGCTGGGCTTAAACCATGACAGCCTCCTACTCTGTTTAAGGGCAATGTAACATCACTACAAAGGAAACTTCCTCTTTTAAAAACCATAAATCATTGATTTCTCCCCCTACAATAACCAGCCCTTCCCATCTGGGAGGCTTTCCACATTTACCATTTGTGTTATAATCTCCACTGTATTTCTGCCTGCCACATTGATTTATCCTTTGCTAACAAATCAGTTTGTATGAAAAAGCTGCTGCTTTCCCATTCAGTGTTTGATGAAATGTTTGTGTGTTCTATAAATCATACCTAGAATATGAGCACATAGGACGGTGAAGTTAAGAAAGAAAGTGTTTTTATAAAAATTTACATGTGTGTTACTGAAAATATTCAGTTATACCGCTGCATTCCAGTGCTGGTGAAATGTTGCTTTGGGGGATATATGTAGGTTAGGCTAATGAAAAATCTTCTCTTTAACAGCTTCACCTTCCCATTCCAAATTATGGAATTTCTCATAGGAAATGTCAGGTAGTGGGTTTGGTGATGGAAAAACAGGTCAAGTGTTTATATGTGTAGGGTCCTCCCTACCTAGTCTCCCATTTCTATCAGTAAGGAACAAAGCCTTAAAGCAGAAGATAGAAAGACTGAAGGAGTGATTTTAGTTCCAAGCATTTCCCAATTCCTCAGTGTGACCAGGTGCAAAGTACTAGGCCTCTTTTCAATTGAGATTTGCTTCTGTAAGATGGAGGTGATAATGCTACACCAGCCTGTGTGGGGCTTTGGAAAAAAAGCAATCAGAACACACTTCAGAGCTTCATAAATTAATCACAGTGGTAGCTGCAAGATCCACCACTGCTTGCTGTGAATTTAGTTCCCCAAATACAAGAGTCTGCAGAGCCTCTGCTCTGAAATTGCCTGTAAATACCAAGAATCATTACACTCTCATGGAGGAAGGAATACAGGGACTAAGGTCATGATCCTGATGAGCCATGAGTCTCAGTACAGGATAACCAGGACCTAATCTAGCCAGTCAGGACTAGCCAGTCAGCTGCTCATGGATCATAGGGAGAAACTGGGTTCAATTCCTGATGGTCAGAGGGTGTTGGATTCTCCACTTTATAGCAGTTAAATCTTCGCATTCGTCTAGCCCTAGATCTAGGTAACTTTAGCATGTAAACCTGGGTTGCCATCAACTGGCAGAATATTCAGTCCCAAGTCAGAAATATTGCATAACAATTCATTGCACAAGGAAAACAAGGTTCCTGTGAACAGGAGTGACAAATCACACAGAAGTATGAGCAGATGCTGTTTAGAAAGGCTTTGGAGAGAATCCTTGTCTCACAAAGAAAAGTTACTGGGAGATGTAAAATATCTATTAAAATCTAGGCTACCTCAATTTTTTCCCCAAAAGAGACAAAATGAGATATGTTCTTTCCATTAGTCACCTTAATCTTTCAATTCCAGAACTGTTCCACCCTTTCCTCTATTCCAATGAATAATTAAGCATCTAGTGGAATAGGAAAGATTGAAAGAGGCTGACCTGGCACATGAGCTATGAGTCAATGGTACCTTATTTCCTAAGAAATGTAGAAGCAATTTTTTTCTGATTCTTCTCCATTAACATCTTAATTTCCCAGTACAATTCTAAGAGAATTAGATTAATCACTCTCACCACTCTGCCAATTTTAATCAGAAACAATGACTGCCAGTGAATAATAATTTTTTTTCTTTGCAGCTCCAGATGTTTGTAGAATAAACTACCACTTTCTTTGCCTACACTTAGCACTTACAAGAAGTTTAGTTTTAACTTTTTGCTTTAGCAGAGTCCTGGGACTGAGCAAAACTTGAGATTTGGAAAACATGCCTTCTGCTGCCCTTAAATGTGAATATTTGCATTAATTTCTGCTGAAACCTTTTCTCAAATAGTTTAGTCTGTGGTTGTTCTGGAGACATGATAAAACAGGTGGGCAACTTATGGGTTGGGAACTCCTGCAATATTTACAGCTGTGGACATGGGGAGAGCTCCCAGGAAGGATGGATTTTGAGGAGATGTCAAGATTTTGGGTAGAACATTAGTAACTGATTCAGTCTCAGAAATATCAAGGCCATTCTCACAAGAAGAATTAAATGAAAATCAAGCATGCTGTTGTACCTTCCAAATATCTGTGGCACAGGCTCTTTACCTTGGTACCATTATACAACTGGTCTTCTTAACTGGCTCCTACACATTTCTTCCATCACCTGC